GCACTAGCATATAGAGGGAGGCTACGAATCTATAGACAATTAAGGCTCTACTAAGGCTTTAGTAGGTACTAAAGTCCAAGTAGGGGAGGATATAAGATCCTTAGCCTATATACTAAGGGATTACACCACACTTACTAAAGTGGTGTTATGCCTAAGTATGAAAAACTCTAGTCTTGGCAGCTAAGCAGAGGGGATATAAAAACACCTCAAAACCTTATATAGATAGCGGGGGCCATGAACCTTCTTTGTTAGTCAAAGCTCTCACACACCTTCACCCAGAATTACCACACTCGACGGATATGAGCAGGATCCAGCGGTATCACGGACGATCAGGCATTATTCAGTCGCACCACTCGGGGCCCGCAATACCTGACCCTTCCTTCGACAATATCTCCTGATTCACGGTGGAAGCCTCGACCTCGATATGGGCATACCCGTCAGCTACGGCCGAATTCACGTCCCCTATACCATACATGTCAGCCGTCTGCAGTTCTGGGTCTGCAGTGAGTGTACTGCACCAAATCATACCAGAACAGCTTTGCATCATTACCCGCAGCCTCCATCAGGTAAGCATTGAGACCACTTCCATACACGTCATCGCTCAGAGCTCCATTTCCCCCCGGGAGCATAAAGCCGAGCTACTCGAACTTCCTCTTCATCCAAACCACCGTTTCCCCTTCACTAGCATCTTGCGGAGAGAACATCGTCGAGCATTCAAATATCACAATCTATCATCCATCATGTCCTCCCCACGCATCGCCTGGATCGGCCTAGGCAACATGGGCCGCGGCATGGTCAAGAATCTGGTCGACAAGGGCTCATATACCGCGCCTGTCCTCATCTACAACCGTACCGCCGCTCGCTCGGAGAAGCTCGTCTCGACGCTCCCGCAAGGAAAGGCCAAAGTCATCACCTCGATCGCGGACGCTGTCGAGGGCGCAGACATCATCTTCACGTGCGTCTCCAACGATCAAGCCATTGAGGAAACCATCTCCGCTGCCCTGCAATCTCCCGAGTCCAAAGGCAAGCTCTTCGTCGACTGCTCCACTGTACATCCCGACACCACGGACAAACTGGCCAAGAAGATCAACGGAGCTGGCGCAGAGTTCGTGGCGAATCCGGTCTTTGGCGCTCCGGCCATGGCAGACTCGGGGCAACTGGTTTGCGTTTTGGCGGGACCCAAGGCACAAGTTGATCGTGTACTTCCTTACTGCAAAGGCGTCATGGGCAGGGCTGAGATCAACTACTCCGATCAACCTCACGGAGCAGCCACGCGCCTCAAGATCATCGGCAACACCTTTATACTCAACATGGTGGAGACTCTATCCGAGGGTCACGTCCTCGCGGAGAAGAGCGGCCTCGGCACTGACAATCTCCACGCTTTCATCGAGACGATGTTCCCCGGTCCATACACCGCATACAGCCAGCGCATGAAGTCTGGGGACTACCACAGTCGCGAGGAGCCTCTGTTCCAGGCCAAGCTGGCGAGAAAGGACGCGGGCCACGCAAGGAGTCTGGCAGAGGCAAGCGGATGCAAGCTCAAGGGGTTGGAAGTTGCGGACGAGCATCTGAAGGCGGTCGTCGATCACGCGGGCGACAAGGGCGATATCGCCGGCATCTACGGTGCCGTACGGAAAGAATCCGGCCTCAAGTTTGAGAACAACTAAGAAAGTCACTGCGCCGAATCGCAATGGAGGAATGCAGCATGGTCAAATCTATACACCACCTCAAAAAGAAGCGAGAAGTGCAGAGCTCTATACTCCAAATCTTCCTTCACCCCTTCTCATCGTGCCCGCGCCTTGTCCCACCCCCTTCCGACTTTCCTCCCATCAGCATACCACACCGCCGCTCCATCCTTGAGCGCCCAAGCAATCGAATCAAACTCAATCTTCAGCCTCATGGCCTGCCACTCCGACCGGTCACCACCGTAGAGACCGTAAATTCCCAAGCAGAAACCCGCGCGATGCCAGTAGCTTGCCTAAAATTTCCAAATTACCCCAATCACCAGCCACAAGAAACATCCAGGGTGTTGAAAGGTTTTGCGGAGGCTGCGAAAACCGCAAGTGAGTACGGGACGGACAGAAAGAAGAGCAAGGGAGATGACGTACGGTCCGTTTGGTACTACTCGCGGGTAATATGGTTTGGTGGTGTTGTAGATGGGGGATTTTGGTTGCCTGGGAGGCGCATGATGGAGCGGATGGAAGGCGGGGGCCGTACATAGGAGGGCTTCGCGGGTGGTGTAATTGTCTCCTCAAGTCGGAGTCGCCTGCGATGGAAGAATAGTTGGGGACTTTTCTCGTGGTAGATTCTCAATGCCACCCACATGGCCAGCCATGCACTCCAGCAGGGTATAATTTCAAGTAGTAGGCGGTGCCTGCTCATCAGGGCCGGAAGGCTTGAGTTCATCATCGGCGGTGGTGCGACCTTCCGCGGCCAGAAATTCGTCGTCCTTTTCCGCCCATCCATACTCATCCAGATCTTCGTCCTCGTCGGAATCCGCAATCTCGTCGTACGTGCGTTTCCGCACCACCTTCACCACCACGGGACTCGACGACTTCTTCGCGATCGGCGGCGGCGGCGGCGCCGCGATGCTCGAAGTCGGGTTGCTGCTCGTCAGATCGACGATGTGCTCTCGCAGAGATCCGTCCGCGGTGATCTCGAAGGCGATGGCGTTCCTAACGTCGCCGACGGGATCGAGGGGGGTGATGTTGCGACCTTGAGCCTTTTGCACGCCGATGCAGCGGCCGGAGAAATCTCGAAACGTGACGATTCGGCTCCAGATGCCGGCTTCCCACTCCGAGCCGCCGATGCCAGGGCCCACCGCGGCGGAGAGGCCGCTGTCGCTTCTCATGCGAGAGCTGCAGCCTGTGGTGACGAGGACGGCCATGTTGTGGAGGGCCGCGAGCTTGTTGAGCGCGGTGACGAGGGAGCCCAGGATAGCGTATCGTCGGCCTGCTAGCCATTTCTGCTGTTCTGTTTTGGTACTGTTGTTGGTGTAAGGCATGCGAGGATAATCCAGATCGATGAGGGTGTGGAGGTCGTCTATGACCAGTGCAGAAGGCTTGTCGGACAGCAGAAAGTCCGGTGGGTGCAGAATCAGCGCAAGGACATGCGAAAGGGTAGACACTCTGAAATGGCGGAAGCGTGGCGAAATCAAGTCGTCTGTAGGGGAGCCATTTTTGCTGCGCCTTGCATCGGACCAGCCTTCCAGTCTGGATGCACATAAAGCTGTAGCGCAGTCTGAATGAAAAGAATGAGCATCGGTATCTTGCCACAAAAACATCAAATGTGCGCACCTATCCATGTCACGCATTCATCGCGCTTGATCGCCTGTGTCGCAGTCTGAACGCTGCGATGTGGGTTAGAACAGGGATCCAGCCATGTAAACAGATTTCACATACGCCAATGCCGTCTTCCCAGAACCGCTCGGGCCCCATATCTCAGCGACTTTGCCTCGCTGAAAGCCAGCATGGTCGCCTGGGGCATCGACGGCAGCGAGAGAACGATCCAACGACCCGAGACCGCTCGCCACTGCAGCACTACCGGCTTCTTCCAAGCTACTGAGAGCTTCTGCTGCCGATTGAGTCGGTAATCGATCTATCGTTATTAGCCTTGAATGGGCAGCCTCGATGGTTGGAAGTACCTACGGGATTTCGCAGGAGACTTCTCAGGAGGATTACTGGACGAAGAGATTGTGACGACCGGGGGAGTGACAGCCATTGCCGTCGCCTCGCGACAGCGATCACATGAAAGTCGCTACGCCGATGTGGCCGACATGTAAGTGAATGAAGTCAGGCCAACCCGCGTCCAAGACGCGTTGGAGATCCGTGCACCTGCGACCCGAACCCGAACCCGAACCCGAACCAAGAATACGAATCCGAGATCTCCTAACTTTCGCTGTAGGAGAACGGCCATTAGTCCGCGAGACTCTAAACGCAACTTTTACACTCTGACGTTGCTACAATTGCCATTGTGTCGTCGCTGGCGGCGTGGGCAGCTGGAAATGAGCAGGATGAGGCGAAGTTCGGGATCAAAAAGCCTTTGAAGTAGCATAAAGTGTAAGGAAAGCTAGCTATCCGCAGTTTTGCATGCACAGCACACAGGACAAGGAGTAAAGGAGCGAGTTGAAGCAAAGAAACGGGTATCAGGAAGCGTCGCTCATACTGTATAAGCCCATGTCGTTCCGTACAGACTCTAAAGTCATGAAGACCGTGGCCAGCAGCGGTCGGAGGTCTGTCTCAGAGTGGCTGTAGTCGAAAGAAGCTGCTGCAAGGTCATCCACCAGGAGTGCAATCCGCTCGAGCTCGATCAGTTCTGCCTGTACCCGAGGATACCAGAAATGGCTCTGAGGGTCGTGATTGTTTCCTGGGTGTCCGAATGGAGGAGGCGACGAGTTGTCGCATTTGGGTCCCGAGCTCTTCCCGGCAGCCAGTAGTAGACCTTGGTAGCAGGCCAGAACGTGTTCCAGAGTGATGATGAAGCTCATTGTACGTATGCGAGGTGGCTCCTGAGTAGCGCAATTGACACATGCCAGTTTTGCATCGACATTTGTGACTGCATGATGCGTAGCCTCAAGAAGTACATGGAATTTGTCTCCGGAGAGAGTGAGTTGACAATGCTGCAACCTGCTGATGTCGTCGGAGAGTCTGGAGCAGGAACAGGAGGCCACCTGCTGAGAGAAAGTCAAGCCCTGTGCCACGCTGCTGGCGACGGAGTCTGGTGCTGTGGACAAATTAGTGAGCGCAGCAGCTTGACTGGTGTGGGCCGCGTTGTTCAAAGTAGCTCCGAAGCCTAGAAGCTGTAGGGGAGTTCTAGATGCAGCAGTAGCAGGCGCAGACGACGACTGGAAATCAGCGCCAAGAGGCCATATAAGATGCGTCGCCTGCGGGAACCATCCAACACCATCGAAGTAAGGGGGCCATGAAGCGTAGTCCGACGCTATCAGGGGTCCGGAAGATTCTGTGGAAATATCCGGCACGAAGTTGATTGATGGTACTCCCGCAAGCGAAGCTGCAGTAGTGGTGGGTGCTGTGCTACCCCTTGCGCTACCTGTCCAGAGATCTAGACCATTGCCCGGCATGCCATCGGACAGCAGAATTGGTGTTGTGACCTGACGTCGATGGTCGCTAGGTTCAGGATAGGAGGCATCGGCTGCTTGCCTTGACGGCAATGTGTGGATAGACCGTTGAACAGGCGTTCGAGGAGGTCGAGAGGAGCTATGAGTCTCTTCGTGGCGTCTTGTAGACATTGTGGGTAGCGATGTGCTACTCGCGGATTTCCTGTGTCCCCTCGGTTTGCCTACTGGTTTGCCAGTGCTGTAAGTGCAGACGATCCCATGTCTCTTACAAGCCTCGCAGGCTGGCTTGCCACCAGCACACGGCTGCTTTCTTCGATGACACTGATCGCAAGCGGGTGAAGGCATTTCGCTGGGGTCCGAGCAGATGATGGCAGCCGAGCCAGTAGCAAAATGAAACGACGATTTTGCTGTAGTAGATGAACGCGGTCGGTACTTGCCCAGCTAAGTGTGGCAGCCGGAGTCTTAAAGCAGAATTCATCAGCTACGTCAAAACCGTGGGATCCCGAGTCCTTGTCACGATGCCTAGCCTCAAAAGCATGGAGAAGCAACCACATCAGCGCCAAGCAGGCGCGCCTATCAAAAGGCTGAGCAGAGGCTGTGTATCAATGCGGAGAACTTTTCTTAGACCTCCCGATTTATGGCAGGACAGAAAAGGTGTATCGGTCGACAGGCACACATGCTCTTCCTTCGACATGTAGGCGACGCGCTTTGGCTGGCTTTGCCCGAGTAAACGATGCATGTAGCCTCTGCTTTCTGGCAGAACAGACCCGGATTCAACAACGGAACGCTGAGCGAAGCGTCCCTTGGCAAGAAAATAGTCACCAGCTAGGCTGCTTGGCGATGTAGGCCACGATGGATCGACCAAATGTTCTCTGCTGTCAGCATCTGCTTCCACACAAGAACACTCTATTACAACCTGCTCGAACCAGAAGGCCACCGGGAGGTAAGAACATTCCATAAATATATTGCGCGTGGTTTGGAGCCTGCAACACGTGCCTGCTAGATGAGATCTCGTGCATGTCGTCAGCTGCGTAAAGAGCCGCAGGGCTCATTCCCTTGGTCCCTCATCCCGGCGCAGATCCGCCATGATCCGATAGACGGGTCGTCCGTGTTGGCATCAGTCGCGATAGGTGTCCTGGAAAGGCGGCCCAATGGACTGGTTGACCGAATCCCAAAATATACACCAAGTTCACCATTCTTGACGTTTCGTTCGTGGCGGCAAGGGGGGCGCTCCGGTCAGCAGAATAGCTTTGAAGTCTTTCAAGCTGCGGCCGTGCCGCAAGAGAAGAAGTGTCTGACGTAGGAGCAGGCATGCATCGCTTGCGGCTCCTCCCAAAGCTATTTCAATTTCAGGGAAACTTCGCAAGAACCGACTTGAGGATTCGACTTACAAGATACCTCCGACAAGAAATGCGGCGAGAGGCACACCAACGCCCACACCAACACCAATCGCAACGCCCTTATGATCGCTTGCAGCTTTTGCCGCTTCTCTTGCTACGCCGGCGACGCTGTTAGGTATTCATAGAGCATTGTACGCTGATGGTGTTCCGGCGATTAGCGATATTGCTCTCACATTGGAGACCGAGGGGAATGGGAGCCATGTTGGCAGACTTTGGGGTAGGCGATGATGTTGCTTATTCCATTGCACTTGAAGGCCCAGATCTGACCGGTGATGAGATCTGTGTTGGCTTGATTGTAGTCTGCAGAGACACAGGACATTGTCCGGCGACCGTTGGTGGACAATGCACTGTAGAGTGAGTGATTATGGTTTTGAAGGTGGTCATATGAATAGCGTGCCCGATGAGATTATCTGCCGTACCCAGGCCACCGTAGCGGTCCCGGTAGACGAGGCAGTGGTAGCTGGCTGTTGCGGGAAAAGGAGTTGATTTGGATGTCGCACGTGACCTCGGTTTCGTATACAAGAGGTCTTGGCACCCACTCCACTTCCTTTGCTTTCTTTTAGCACTCGTAGATAGTATCTGTATTGACAATGTGTATGCTTACCACGCACTCGTAATCAACTAAAGGCTCTTCACCGTGGTAGTGTACACTGGAGTTGTTCTGGAAGCGGCCGGGCCGTAAACGACGGTTCCAAGGTTGTTTGGGCCCTGGCAGTGGCTCCAAGAACGAGAGAGTTAGTCCTACACCACTTTCAGCTTGCAGTTGCGATCCTCTTGCGTCTCAACGATCTCTGTCTTGAACACCGCGACGTCAGCGTTGACTGGGACCAGGATGCCACCGGCTACATGGTATTCGGACAGATCAACGTTGCCGATTGTCATGTTGGGCAAGTGGACAGAACCACCAAAACTGTGCGCAGCATTCGCACCAAGACCAAGGGTTGCAGGAAATGCCGCGCTGGCAGTCTGAACCGGCCTGGTGGAAGGCAAACTCCCGAGACAAAGTCGAGATAAACACCAGTTGGACTCAATGCATGCATGGTGGAAGGCTGTGCTGCAAAGTCGTACACGGTGCCGTGCTTTTGATGGCATCAAAGCGTATCGCACTAGAAGGGAGTGGTAATAACCAGATAACGGGTCCAGATGCGGTTTGATCTACCAGCCGTGCGCCCTCGCAGCCTTGTGATCGCTGCGGTCCACCACGGAGGAATCCAGGAGTCAAGCACAGCGAGCTTTTAAGTAAGGGCCCCTTCATTGCCCTTGTTCGGTGCCTCCCTCAAGTGTTACTCGGACGAGTAGCAATAATCACTGAACTGACCAGGAACAAGTTGCTAGTGTATGAGAAAGCCGTAAGGTGACGTTCGAGAGGAAGATGAGGGAGTATATAGGGCTTGCAGCCGTCGATGCCGCCGCATTGAGGCAGCTGCAGCAATTGCTCCGGGTCAGCTCGACTTTTCAATTCGGTAGGCCGAGCTATACCGTCTGGCGCTAGTTTCAGGCAGACTGCAAACTGTGCTGACATTATAATAACTGTGCCGACATTAGGATAACTGTGCCGACATTAGGATAACCAGTAGAAATAGGGTGGAGGAGTAATCTGGACGGCAGCAGGGATTAAGGCCGCCACTTCGGCCTTAAGGTCGGGTTATGTTCAGGGGGTAGTCGTGGAGGCTACGGTAGGCCTAGCGTTTAGTTCAGTATAAGATAAATAGTCGAAGGTGGGTAGTAATGTGTCTTGTGGCTACTTTCACTATATTCAGCTCTCGCTATCAACTTTCTCCTGCTAAAATTTCTACCTACAAAACTTCAGACCCGGATATTACTGCCTGAATATACCGCCAAAGATGCGCCTTACTACCTGCATAACGGCTCTTATCGGGCTAGTTGGCTTCGCAGTCGCCGGTAAGCCCTTCTTCGATTCTAAAGAAATACGGTAGCGTCTATATAGCTAGCAATTGCCTCTCCCATCTAGACTTCGGCTGCTCGGATGGCTACTGCGATTGTATGTACCAATGCAGCAACGGTGATACGACCTGCGAGCATTCTTGCTACCAAGGCTTCTGCTCGAATTCTTTCCCTAAGGGGACCCAAAGAGGGACCGATCCTCCTGTCTGCATATCTATTCCTAAGCGTTGGAATGCTTAAGCGCTAGCGTTCTCAAGTCACGGGGAATGAGGATTCGCGAGGACATAGAGAAGATAGGGTAAAGAACACTAGGGTTTCTGTTAGGGATTCCGAGCTGCACCTTGGTCTAAAATGGGATGCTCTTGTGGTAAGGCTTGATCACGACGTGCCGTGCACTCAAATAGAACATTGACCTGAGAAGCTCTTTTCGCGAAGTCTTTTGTTCGGGGCTCTACAACATCTGTGAGCAGCCGCAGCTTGGTGTTGTCCACCGTACCGGTTTGGGGCCCAATAGACCGGCCGGTGCTGCGGCACGCGAAATTCTGGATAATTGTACGCCGTAAATACCGCTAGCGAAGACGGGTGGCGACCGGTCTAGCAGCCTGTGCAACTAGTCATAGCCTTTTTGAAACTCCCTTAGCAGCCGACATCGAAAATCCTCTATCCAGCCAGCCCGTACTCTCCCGCTTGATGCAAACGCCGTTCCCAATCCGCTCAAAATTGTCGTGGCCCTTATGCCCCACTCTGAAACGAGGCCGTAATGCTGCGAGAGGATTGATAACTTCTGCATAAGAACCAGACACGCCAAGATAGCCGCACCATCGACACTGGCGCAACAGCCAAGACACTGTTCGCAGGCCGCGAAGCCATCCTGTAGAGCTGAGAAGTCCGAGTGGCTGCTTGACTTGGACATATCGAGTAGGGTGCGGATGCAGTGGCATCCCACATGAGGTTGTGGCAGCTGGTCATAGGTAGTTGGAAGCGCGTAGCGAGAAGAATCGCTGCCGTGGAGTGGTACACTCGTGGTTGCACTGACTGCGGGTACCTGCGTATGCGCGGTTGAATATGAGGCAATGGAACTGCCAGAAGGGAACCTGAGCTCATCATTGAGGACGGTAGCGGGCGCCGACAGAATCCGAGCGTAGCTGGTGTCGATGTTGTTGTCCGATGGAAAGTTGTGCGGGTGGAAAGATTGGTCCGGTGAGATGTCTGGTGTGGACTGTCCGTCGAAGCCATTGGAAGGGCTCCAACTGATTCTGGTCGTCTCCGGACCGCTCAAACTGTAGGTACAAATGGCGAATTGCGCTCGACATCTACTGCACTGAGGTATTTCTCTCCCACACCGCGTCTTGCAACGATAACACTGATCGCAGGCGTAAAATGCCAATTCGTTCATTGCCATGTCTCAAACTGCTCGATTCTTTCTGACGTTCTGGAGTATTGAAGGGCGAAGGCGAAGGACGTCGGAGCTCAATCGCAAGACACTGATGGCACGACTTGTTGTCACTCCAGAAAGGCTCACAGAGCACAGATCGCAGATTAGTCTTCCGAATACGGTGCACACATGCTCTTGAGATAGTAAGCATAAGCTGCATACAAGTTGGCTCCTGCTATAACGCACTTGAAGAGTTACTTAGTTGATGTGAGGTGAACAACAATGATCAGCAGAGCAGTGTAAGGAGGGTCACTGTCTCTTAAGCTTTTAGGCATGGATCATGGGGATATGATAATGCAGCCGGAGCCCGGTTGGTGATAACCACCTGACCCACATTGTCGAAGTACGTCTTGAAATTGATCGAATCGCAGTTGATACCGACTGCGGGCGCATGATGGGAAGCGCATTTCAGAGCGTTGTTGGTGTGTTAGAATGTGTCTTCTGGAGCAGCAGAGATACCCGGGGTTTCCGGCTCGTCCCACAAGACGAAGGGAAGAGTTCATGTCACGAAGACTTGGTCTGCGTCTTCCCAAAAGATACCATGCTGAGCGAGCATCCAGGATTCCGTCCACGCGGACCTAGCTTGCATCGGCTGATCTTTCTGTGACCAGGTCACCCTGCCGTAGGTTGCCGTATGGCAGCAGAAAAGCTCTTGGAAATTGCTGAAAGTTGAATTCACCCTCAGTCTCCTGGCCGACTTGTGCTCATTTAATCCGGATTCTCCCGGGCACTTGCGATTATCAGACCTCAAGCATCAGACAGCACCTTGACATTGCGCTTTCAATATACTTTCCCGCTTACTGGACGTATTCGCTCCATTGAGCCAGCATCCACGCGCCGGTGACGGTGCTCACAATGACTGGGCTTGCCAGACCTTTGCCCCATCTCGCGCTTCCGAACACAAGCCACTCGCCAAGGAAGTGGGCAAAAGCCAGTCCGTAGGTCCAAAGACAGATTTGGTAGAGGATCGGGTCATGGATGTTGTAGGCTGTGTATAGGCGAATGATGCTGCTGAGAGCCGTCCAAGTGCCGAAGGTCCTCGCGCTCAGCTCGTTCACCGGCGAGTTGGTGGTTGATTTCACCTGGTTTGAAGTAGATGGAGTCGACTGTGTAGTGTTCGAGATACCCGAGTAGACTTGACGAGAGCCGGACAGGGAGACATAGCATTGGATGCTATTGCCTATGGACACAATGGCGATCTGTACGAGTCAATACGCATCGATAAGGGGAGAGGCATTGGGAGTCACGTACGAAGAGCAGCCATTTGGGCAGTAAGCCATCCGCTGGCGGGAGGTATGACGCCAGAGCTCCGAGTTGAGACATTGTTGCTGCCTTTATTTTCTGCGATGCGGCGTTTCATGCGGGTTTGCAGGCGTAATGACACGCAGAGGTGAAGTGGTGCTGCCAAATTTCAAAACGCTCATATTGCAGGTCCGTGCACGACAAGCTTGGACGAGTAGATGAGGAGCTCAACAACATCACTTGGAGCTCTTCACAAGCACACGATCAACACCAACACCAACAGACGTCCGAAAGAGGATCAACGCGGCCATGGACAATATAACGGAGGCCATGCCGGACATGGATAAATGGGCCGGTCCGACCACTCAAGTGTTCGCGTTTATCGGCTTGCTGTGGCTCTCGACCAAAATCTTCTCATTCTGGAGATTAATAGCTTCTCTCTTTCTCTTGCCCGGCGCAAAGGTAAGACAACCGAGAGAACAGTTCGCATTCTTGGCTTACGATTACCTGGAAAGCTCTCCAAGTTTGGTCGCAAAGGGACATGGGCAGTCGTGACCGGTGCATCTGACGGGATCGGCAAAGAATACGCTGTCCAACTCGCCGCAAAAGCCTACAATGTCGTTCTTGTGTCCCGCACGAAATCGAAGCTGGATGCACTCGCCACGGAAATACAAGAGAAGTACAAGGTGCAAACAAAAGTCCACGCAATGGACTTTGCGGCCAACAAAGATTCGGATTACAAGGCGTTTGGCAAGCTCATTGATGGCTTGGACGTGAGCATTTTGATCAACAATGTGGGACAGAGCCATGACATTCCGGTGCCATTTGTGGAGACCAAGGAGCAAGAGCTGAGAGACATTGTAACAATCAACTGTATGGGAACGTTGAGGGTGACACAATTGATAGCTCCTGGCATGGTGCAGAGGAAACATGGATTGATAATTACGATGGCGTCTTTTGGAGGAATCATGCCCACTCCGCTTCTGGCCACCTACTCGGGTAGCAAGGCCTTCTTGCAGCAGTGGTCCACAGCCTTGAGTGCGGAGCTGGAACCCCACAACGTGAAGGTCCAACTTGTGCAAAGCTATCTGGTCACTTCCGCCATGAGCAAGATCAGAAGATCTTCGGCTCTGATTCCAAACCCGAGGCAGTTCGTCAAGGCCGCTTTGTCCAAAATCGGAAGGAGCGGCGGTGCGCAAGGAATTGCAGGCACTAGCACACCTTACTGGAGCCATGCGATCATGCACTGGGCTATTGCGACCTTCGCGGGCACTATGAATGGTCTGGTTCTGGGAATCAACAAAAGCATGCACGAAAATATCCGGAAGAGAGCACTGAGAAAAGCAGAGAGGGATGGGAAGAAGAGCTCTTAGGATGGAGGGCGAATGGAACAAATACTCAGGTGTTCAGGAACGCGATAGCTACGGAGCTCCAAGGATCGGCCTGTACCACTTCAAGACCCGTCCTATGGTCACCGACAGCCTGACCTGTATGTCCAAGCCACCTGGCTGCAAGCGCCGAGAAGCCCCTTCGCGTCTAATCCTCACTTGAGACAGATCCATTACGCCCGAGCCTTCCAATCTGGCGGTTTCAAGGTTTAAAGTGACGGTGTCCATCTGGGATTAACTTACAGATCACCAATTTGAAAGCGTAAAGTTGTCTGGAGCACAAAGTTTTGACAACCTGCTGCACGTGGTGATCGAGTGCAGGCAAGTCGTCTTAATGCTTGGGAAGTTGCATGACATCTTTTCATGTGGCTAGAATTTTCGGCTTGGGCGTGCACTATCTCAGTGAAACTTCCGCGGGACATCGTGTGAGTAATGGAACAAATGACCTTCAACGTTTTAGCCTAAGGAGGTCAGCACAAGTCCGCCTCTGGTGGCAGTAAGACATTCGCATGAAATGAGAAGTTGGGTTGCCTCCTGAACCATCCGATAAGCAACTTCACAACACAAGTACGAAAACGTCGCCAGTGGCGTTGGAAGGAAGGCCTCCGCGGACAGATTGGCAGTCTGACACGCTAGATTGAGCAAACACGCGCGGTCGACTAGAGTCAAACGGCAAAGCGTGACATCAAGTGCATTTTGCCCACTGCGGTCACCGAGACAGGCGAATAGCCTAACTGCGCTTTCCCTAGGTCTCCAGACGCTTGACACTCGCTTGAGCGGAGCTGGCCGTTATGCATTGCTTCTCGCGCAATGCTGGTAATATCAATCACTGATGTTATCAGCTTCGTGATCGACAGTGCTTACTGGATCGCGTACGAGGCATCCCAACAAGAGTCAGCTGAAGACCATGCGCTCATACATACATGTGGTCTTCCACCTCCACGCGAGTACATTCACATTTCTCCAATAGCTTCGTGCACCTTGTGCTGACCCGAGATTAGATTGGAAGATCGAATCTGAGTTACGATTGGTCTGTACGATGCCTGCATTCATCACTCTGATGGCTACTATAGTCGCCCACGACGCGCTTGACTCAGCACCTTGGAAGATATAATCTACGACCCTCCGAGCTCTTGGACCACGTGAAGTTTTGGTGGAAACGGTGGGCTCTAGGATCTGTCAAACTGACCTTCACGCTGGCAGAGTAACCAAAGGAAGGGCGAGTGGCATCTATCCGCGTGTGCTGGGGCATGAAGGTGATACGACTATTCGATCCCCCGGTTAATAAGGAGATTTAGACCTGATGAGCTCGAGAGCGCCCTGGAGGAGATGCGAAGGGAGATGCTGTTTGGTGATGAAAGTGAAGGCGGGAGGAAGGAGCATATGGTCCTAAAGGGTTCCGGAGACGATGACGAACTGCGACCCGTCCACAGCGTCCGTCCACTGGCGGATATGTGCATAGGTCTTATCATGCAAGATCAGCCCACCATTGCAGCTCTGCATCACGCGCGGATGGTTTGCGGGACGCACGTCGAGCCGCACACTCCCTTTGCATATAGCAGCCCTGAAGCAGGGACCAGTCAGCCGACACACTAGTTCAAGTGTATGCCGCATGATGCCTGTCCTATGCCCTAGGGTTTCCGAAGTTCTTCCGCTAACTACGGGTGTATGCTTCCAAAGACGACATCTTGTTGATCACAATAGTGGATTATCTCAGCATCTTGAGTGTTCGTATCGCTGCGATCCCAGTTTCGTGCAATCCACCAAGGGCTGGAATTCCGTGAAACTTGCTCATTCAAAGTTGTCGCACTCTCGACTTGTTCCGCTTGGGATCCATAATGGCTCCTGTGGCAGACGGGAAGCAATGTGGTCCGAGGACTCTGAGAGCCTTCTGGAGGCATATAAGACAAGGTCCTCTGCACAAGTCTGATAACTTCAGAACTCCTTCGACACTCACATCAAGAGCTAAGAAACACGATTCATACCCATACCCTCGAAATCCATCGCAATGGTTGCAACAATCAAGAAGTATAAGGCTGCGGCCGTCAACGCCGAGCCAGGCTGGCTCGATCTCGAATCCGCTGTTGAGAAGACCATTCACTGGATCAACGAGGCTGGCAAGGCTGGATGCAAGTTGATTGCATTCCCAGAACTTTGTACGCTGTCACCAGTCTCGTGTTCTGTGTACCTTTTGCTAACAGCTTCTAGGGATTCCGGGCTATCCATGGTGGATGTGGCGCGTCAACTATCAAGAAAGCCTCCCGCTTCTGAAGAAGTACCGCGAGAACAGCTTGCCATCGGATTCTCCGGAGATGCATCGCATTCGCAAGGCTGCCAAGGACAACAACATCTTCGTGTCCCTTGGATACTCCGAAGTCGATCTGAACAGTCTTTACACTTCGCAGGTGCTGATTGACTCCACTGGTACTGTCATCAACCACAGGCGCAAGATCCGGGCAACGCACGTTGAGCGACTTATCTTTGGTGATGGTACTGGCGATACCACCTCGATGGTCGTCGACACTGAGATTGGCCGCATTGGTCAGCTGAACTGCTGGGAGAACATGAATCCGTTCCTGAAAGCATATGCTGTCTCTCTCGGGGAGCAGGTTCATGTTGCTGCATGGTTAGTGAAATACAACAGAGTGTTACTCTTTTGTGTCATCTGACGTGTTACGCAGGCCTCTATACCCACACGCCACCACTCTCAAGTACCCGGATCCATACACCAACATCAGCGACGCCGCCTCCGATATCGTCACCCCGGCTTATGCCATCGAAAGCGGCTCCTTCACACTCGCTCCTTTTCAGACCATCTCCGCCAAGGGCGTCGACCTCCAGACACCACCAGGCACAGAGCGCGCGGATCACCACATTTTCAATGGAAACACCCGCATCTACGGCCCCGACGGACAGTCGTTGATCGAGCGCCCAAGCGAGGACTTTGAAGGTCTGGTATTTGTGGATATAGATCTCGATGAGACGCATCTGAGCAAGGCGCTGAATGATTTCGGTGGCCACTACATGAGACCGGATCTGATCAGATTGGTTGTAGACGTGGATCGCAAGACGAATGTCAGCAAGGTTTCCGGTGCTGGAGTGCCGGAGTTGGTGTCCACTGTCGAGCGCGTTGGGTTGAACAAGCCACTAAAGGATGAGAAGGAAGAGGACGCGAGGAAGGCGCCAGTCGCCGAGGAGTAAGGATGTGCGGCACGTCTGCTTTGGAGCCTTTGTACTCGAAAATCTGTAAATCCCACTCTATTGGACCTTTTGTCGAAGATCCTGAATGGATTCGCTTCGATCCGTTGGCATCGCTGTGGTGTCGTCTGCGCCATGTACTTTGGGACTGAAGGTGGACTGTCTTCCAATATTTGTCATTGCGTGCATTTCCAGCGGTTACAGTCTACCTTTGTGCTAGCGAAGGGACCAGAAGATTTCCAGAGAGTCTGAGAAGCTCGCCAAGGCCAGCTCAAGAGTCCTCATATCGCGTCGGCCTCGAGTCAATACTACCGTGTCAGTATCCGCTTGATGAATACCCAGGGTGCATAGCGCAACTAATCGCTGGCTGCAGCATCCCGTGAGCCACGGGGATGTGATGCCGTGCGCTCGGCTCCAGTGGAATTCGGCACACTCGGTACACAGAGATATTTCTCGCGTGGTTGGTGACACCGTGGGAACAAGAGTGCAAGTTCATGAAAGCACAAAAGGGCGTTGACGGAGGCAGGATTTGCAAGCTGAGGAGGCGCTTTAACGACCCGGCTCGCAGCTTGGCTCGTGCACCCCACGTGAGTATCCACATGTTAGAGTCTCCCACGTGAGTAGGCTAAAAATACCCCTGCCAACAATCTCCTGAACTTTCGCTGCGCTGTCTGCTCCTTTGCTGCACAATGCACGATCGCTTCGCAGATCGGACAGCGCGGAAATGCTTCGCACATGCGTGTAACCGCCGCGTCTCCTTCCGCATGGAGAATAACGAGTGCATCTTGGTTCAGCTGAGCCAAGTCGGATCAGCTCAACAAGCTGTATCAAGATTCGCGTGCTGTGCCGCCAGATCTGGAAGTTGGAACGGCGCATTTTGCGTAAAGCGCCATGTTGGAAGGGTCGCACTGCATCTACGTTGGCTCCTGACTCACCGGAAATGACGAGAATGGAGCTGTCTGTCACATGCCCACCCGCTCCAAGCGCGCCGCTGCTACCTGAGGCGACTTGGGCACGTGAAAACAACCTTTTTCCTTCCTTCACTGGTGCCTTCACATGTGAGGTAGGAGTGAACGACCAACGCTTCGTCAGCAGCCATAAGTAGGTACAAAGTCACAACCTTTCCTTCATATTCAAATCCAAAACCACAACCAAAAAACTCCTCCTCCTACACAACTTACCACCAAACCTCCTTAGACTCGCGCCTCTTACTACCCCCTGGCCTCAAATGGCTTCCCTCTGGAGCATCTGCAAGCTCCTCTTCGCTCTCCTACATCTCGCTTCTGCCCTGTCATTTCGCCCCGCAACCGATTCTCAAACCCATCACCCGCAACCGGAAATCATCGAACGCGATGTGGCGATCATCGGCGGCGGATCCAGTGGAACATATTCAGCGATCCGATTGCAGCAGCAAGGCCACAGTGTCGCCTTGATCGAGAAGGAGAATCGGCTTGGCGGTCATGTCAACACTTTCGTGGACCCGCCCACCGGAGGCACATTCGACTACGGTGTCATCATCCTGGTCAACGTCTCGATTGTGCGGGACTACTTTCAGTATCTGGACACTCCGCTGGGAAAATACACAGGATTCGTTCCCGGGATGAACACCCTCTATGCTGATTTCGCCGCTGGTGCCTCTGCCCCAGCTCCCAACGACACATTGGCCGAGGCTGACGCGGTTCCACGATACGCAAGACTTCTCCAGGATCAATACCCTTACCTCGCAAGTGGCTTTCATATTCCGAAGCCTGTGCCCGAAGAGTTGTTGATACCTTATGGAGATTTTCTCGCACAACGCAATCTCTCTGCCTTGGCCTACACCGCATGGTACATCGATGAGGGTGTCGGCAATGCTTTGGCACAGCCTGCGCTATACATGCTGAAGTACTACAACCTGTTGCAAGTCGAAGGAATCAACTACGGCTTTGTGAACGCAGGCAACAACTATCAAGGCCTATGTAAGTTGACTCTCTCTCTCTTTCTCGCTGCAAGGAACCGTTTACTGATCACATGCAGATGATACCGCTCTGAGAAAACTTGGCAATGCGACCAATGCTTTTCTCAACAGCTGCATCGATCGAATCACGCGGAGCACTCGTGGTGTCGAGGTTCAATTTACGACACCGACCGGCAGAAAGATTGTCCGAGCCAAGAAGCTTGTGATGACCATTCCTCCTCTTCTGTCTTCGCTCAAGCCGTTCTTCGACCTGACTCCGACCGAAACGTCACTGTTTGGACAGTACAACAGCAGCTACATCTGGGACGCCATCGTCAACAATACCGGCATCCCGGGAACCGTTGAGGTGCAGAATCGAGATCCAGAAGCACCAGATGGCATCCCAGCTCTGCCAGCTGCCTATGCTTTCGTGCCCTCGCCTGTGGGCGGCGTCCATGCTACCTGGTATAGCTCGCCTCACTACCTTTCCGACGAGCAAGTCAAGACAGATATCCTGCAATCCGTCGCTCAAATCCAGAAGGCCCAGAAGTACTCTTCAGCTGCGACGCCTGAGATCGTGGAATTTCACAGCCACAACCCGTATGAGCTGACTGTGAGCCTGGATGCGATCAAGGAGGGGTTCTACGATAAGGTCAATGCGCTGCAAGGACAGCTGAATACTTATTGGACTGGAGCTGCTTGGGAGTCGCACGATTCCACGGCCATTTGGAATTTCACCGAGTACGAGATTCTTCCGAAGCTGATTCAGTCTCTGCACTGATCCTGCTTCAAGTACTGGGTGGTCAGGGGAACAGCATGGCCTATGATTGGAGCTTAGACTCATGTACATTAGACTAGATTCTAAACCAGTACAAAGTTACCTTGCTTCTTTTGATCATGCCTTCCCTCATATTAGCTTTTCTCCGGGTTAAAGGAGGCACATGAAAGCATTTCGCCAAGACAGGAGTTTAAGTCTGTAGAGGTGACGGGAGTTGCTTAGTGCATGACATAAAAGACCTTGTAGAAATTATTTGGGTCGCGATACAAGTAAGTTCGGTAACCGGATATCATTCAAGTAGCTACGGACTATCTATCTTAGCTCCTGATCAAACCCTACTCTGATACAACATCCTCGCACGTTGGAAGAGTGTCTCGATAGATACTACCGCTGATCCCGCGCATTCCGCCTCGCTGCTGCGCTAGATGTTGGCAAAATTCCCGGAAAGACATGGAAAATGCCGCTGTGCGAAGAGCATCTTCTGCCTCCAACCTCAAGCATCAGTCCAAGTCGGTAGTATTGAACAATCGATTCCCTGTATCCGTCGTTCCCTTGCCAGTGTACTTGTCATCGGACAGACGGAGAGCGACCAGAGTGACCTTTCCATGCCTACCAGCGGTCTTCTGCAAAAGGCTACCCTCCAAAACCGCTTCTTTCTGCACGACGCCGGCAATGACGACGATGCGAATGGTCGGATGCAGTGCGCGGATATGCTCGATGAATTCTGCTATGGATTTGCCGGTGTTGACGACTGCGTCGACGAGGATGGTCGTCTTCCTGTCTTTGAAATGCTCATACTGGAGCTGGTCTGGCTCTTTGGCGTGGACGAATGCAGCGAGGGGGAAAGCGTCTGAGACGCCGAAGGCCATGGGTTCTCCGCCGCGCATCAGTGGCACAATGACTGTGTTTTCCTCGTCCAGAAGGCGGTGGGCTTCGATGGATTTTCCTGGCTGGACGTGAGCGATTGGGTACGTCTCCAGGCCGACCACGTCGCCGACAAAGTGTGTAGAGAGGTAGGCTCCAACGCGGCGGTGCGCCTCTCGTAGGGCGTTTCCATGCACGCTCGCGTCCCGCATCGGTCCCATGAGGAGTTTAGTAGCAGCTATATCAGTGGCGTGGACGAAGTCAAGCGCGTCGATCACCGTTTCGATTTCTGTCAGTTGGAGAACAGGAAGTTGAGTGGCATCCAGGCGTAGCGGCGAGTCTCCCGGCAGTTGAACCTGTCGTGCTCGAAGAAGACTGCCATCTCCAATGACCTCTTGCAATTCCGTTTCCATGGACTTACTCCGGGATGCTTCGTCGCCTGCTATCACAAACGCATGGTTTGCTTCGCAAAGCATGTAAATGTCGATAGGACTGTCTCCAAATGCCCAAACTTTTAGACGGTACTTGCTCTGCAGATGCGAGACTATGGCTCGCTTGGTCTCAGGTGTCACGACGAAGCTGTGAATGTCTCGCCCAGCGCCAATGACCTTCACAACGTCCGAGAGTCCAGCATTCTCCAAGACTTTCTGCCATATCTGCTCGAGACCACACGTCAAGACCATCGCACCGAGACTTCGCTGAGATTTGGCTTGATCGCGAAGCTTGCCAAGCAGTGACATGAATTCGGGATGAATGGTCACTTGAGAGGCGACTTGCCGACACTTCATGTCAAAAGCCGCATTGTCACCAATCTCGCAGTGCCGACTCATGAGGTGGCGGAAAGATGTCTCCGTGTGTCCCGTGTTCTCGAAGATCTTCCGCATCTGACTTGGACCATCTGCTCCGAACTCCAGCTGCCAGAGCAAATTGCCAGTGTCTTGTGCTGCCAAAGTTTTGTCGCCGTCGACCACGAACATGCTTTCCAGATTGGCCGGATAAGCGTCGAGTATGCTATCAAGGCGTGCAAGTGCCAAGCCAGAGTTGCGTTCTTCGTCACCTTGGAAAAGGAAGCCCTCGATGAGAGCTTCGGAATACTTGGCCTCCCCGGAGACAGGAACGAACTGGATACCATGTTTCCGACACAGCTTGCGAAGCAACTTCTTCTCCGTCTCTTTCCACTTCTCAAGGTGAGAAAGCGAATCGGAATCTCGATTGCGGCTGAAATCTTGCTTTCGGCGTCGCTCAATCTCCTCGGCATCAACGTCGAGGTAGACGATATGGTTGTAATTTTCCATGTCAGCGCTGGTGCAGATCGGCTCCGGCTCAGCTTGTAGAGATTCAGGCCAAAACATGAGATGGCCGGTAACGATACCAGTCCTTTTGGCTTCAATGCATTGTTGCTGGATGTGCTCGATAGCTTTCGTGCGCCAGTGGTATTGAGTCTCTGACGAGCCCTTTTTGAAGCCCGAGAGTCTTGCGGGATGGAGATGATCGATAACCTCGGAGCCTTCAAAGAAAAGGAACTGGTCTTCAGGGAGATGGTCTTTCAAGTACTTCAGGATGGTCGTCTTGCCAGAGCCTGGCAGGCCGTAGATTCCAATGACTCTCGAAGTGTTAGCGGAATTAGACATGCCTCTTGTGTCAGGCTTGTGATCAAGGTAGAGATCTGAGCTCTGCCCTTCTCTTCTCTTCAGCGCCGTCTGTCCGCGTCTAATGTATGCCTTTGGAGGTTTGCTGCTCCTGAGACTAGTCCTTGAATGTTCAAGTGCTCTTTGGTTTTGGCTGTTAGCAAGCTTCTTGCAAATGCGAATCTTTGTGATGACGGCTGCGCTTTTTCCTAAACCAAGGAAACATGATTGCCGTGTTGAAAGGCAAAGGGCCAGCGAGTTACATAAATCGAGCATCTCGAACACACTGGAGCAAGATGACAAGCTTGGAGGCCGTCCAGTGTCTTCGACATAGAACATGCATTGAGGATGCATTCTACCCTTCCACCGCACTGTGTGCGTTTCACCAAAGCGGCTTCCCCTTGAGGTCTGGAAGAAGATTAGCCGATTGGCAAAGAGTAGTCTAGGAACACTAGCTGCGATGGTATGCACCTCGCGGAGCATGTCACATAGGCGCTTTGGACTTCTCCCAGCTGAAATAAAGCACGACTGAGCCAATGCAGAGTTGTTCCGGGCCTTGACAATGTCCTGCACGGCGGAGATAGAAGCTGCAAGGCGTATACCCAATTCGACTGCACATAGCCAAGCTCTGCCCCATTCTTGTGCACCACGGAGATACATTCATTGTCACGAGACATCGTCTGGGCATCGCAAGTACCCTCTCCGGTTTCAACGACAGCACGATCGCCTTACACCCTCAGATGCGACTCTGCGTTGGGAGCCAGGAAAAAGGTGGTGATATCGCACTGCACCGTCGTATACACCGCTGTGTCTCCATCTCGCGTACTTTCACGGAGTTTCAACTTCTCTCTGGCTCTACGTCGCTCACAATCTTCCCAGGCTCTTTCCATAATGATCATCATAGTACGGCTGGAGCGTCTGCGCCTGGAATCGACTCCGTGGGTATCAGACTGTGGAACGGTCGACGTTCCACGTTGGAAATGAATTTTCGAAGGAAGTAGTACGTGCGCATATGGCTGTGGGAGTGTCAATGACTCGGAAACGGATGATGTTCATATGTATGATGTTAATATGTGTGATGTTCATATGTATGATGTTCATATGTCTGCGGTAGGGAGTGTAAAGTTGTGAGATCCTTGGCCTGCATGCCAAGGAATTACACCACACTTGCTAAAGTGGTGTTATGCCTAAGTGTGAAAAACTCTGGTCTTAGCAGCCAAGCAGAGGGGATATAAAAACACCTCAAAACCTTATATAGATAGCCGGGCTATAAACCTTCTTTGTTAGTTAAAGCTCTTATATCTAGTAGCTAAGATACCTTCTATCTTTTCTTCTAAGAATAGATATATTAAAGCCCTCTATACAAGCCTATAGGTTGCCTAATTAACTATAGCCCTAATCTAAGTTTTAACTATAATAACTACTACTATAGCCGACTAACCTAACCTACCTAATACTATACGCTTTACTAACCGAGACTTTCTACCCTTAGAATTCCTAGGCCTCTACATTTTAGAGCATAGTAAGGGAGCCGACCTAGTAGCAATTACAGCCCTTTAGCGAGCTCTCTAGCTTCTCTAAGAACTAAGTACTATATAAGAAGCTATAGTAGCTACTCCTTAGAACCCTCTAACTAATACTACTATTAACTAAGCTCTAAACACTACTACTTCTATAGCTAGACTAATAGGAAGGATCTAGATTAGACATCTAGTACTATATAATAATAGCTAGAGAAATAATAATGTCTTAGACTAGATTAACTAGGTCTAGAATTAGATTGCCTAGAATAAGATCTTTATGTTTAAAACACTACTTAATAATCTTTAGAAAATGTAACTAGTATTAACTTACCTTACTAGGGATGCTCTTATTAACTAGGTAGTAGCTATTACTAAAGCCTAGAAAGTAAAGAACCTACTTAGGGCTTTTAAGAATACTATACAAACTCTAGAAGATCTAAATATAGACTTAGACTATACGGAGTCCATTCGTAGGAAATTTAATAGCTGTACCTAGACAGGAGGAGTACATAACTTTATTAGAGTACTAAAAGGCTTGTAGAACAAGCTTTATAACCCTAAACCTAATAATTTCGTCTTTATTAGGAGGTTCTAGGCTAGCCTTAAACGAGATATTAGAGATAAATTAGACTAGAGAGGAGTGTATATATTAAACACTTCTACTAGGGACTATATAAGGTAGGCTATTAATATAGACAAAAAACTCTATAGTACTAGGAAGGCCTAGGAATCTATAAATGCCCTACTATAACAAAATACCGAACAATTAGCAGCCCTAGGAACCTCCTAAAGTTCTAAGGGAAGAAAAGACAAAGGCATAAAGGGGAGGAATAGTAAGGGCAAGAAAGGTAGGAAGCATAATAGGAAAACTAGGAGTAACAAGTCCTTAAGTACTTGCTTTAAGTATAGGAAGACTAGTTACTAGAGAAATGAGTACATGTTAAAAAACTAGCTTATAAGATGCCTAAAGAGGCTTAGTACCTTATAAAGCAGTTAAATGCCTCTACCTCTCCCCTAGGACCTAGCTCCTAAGGTAAACTAGCTATATAGGAGGACTTAGAGGAGGAAGAAGACTACACCCTAGAAAGGCTTGCCTCTATTAATAAGAACTTGTTTACTATTAAAGGTGTAATTAGACTACTAAACAAACTAACTAGAGCCTACTTTATACTAGATACTACTACTTTAGGAGTTTATATCTCCTACTAAGTAGTAAAGAGACTCCCTAAGAAGCTTTATATATCTATGCCCCCTATAAGGATACTCCTTCTAATAGGGTAGAGCATTATATTAGATTCTAGAGTTATTTTACTATACTAGATTAGATCCTAGTAGGACTAAATCCCTACTAGAGTCCTAGACATCCTAGAGTATAAAGTGATTCTTAGTCTCTAATAGTTTAGACAGTACAACCTAATAGTAAACTAGCAAGCTAGTAAACTTAGTCTTTAGGACAAGGATAGTAAAGGCTACTCTATTAAGTCTAACTCTAAGATCTTTAAGCTAAAGGATAGAAACCTAGATTTAGAAGTCTTTAACTCCCTCTATTTAGTAGAAGCAGTTAAGTATATATCTAGTCCCTAGTACCTATATATACTACGAAAGGCTCCTCTAAGTAAGGATAACATTTAGGAGAAAGGCCTAAATGCTACTACTAAGACAGAGACTGTACCTAAGGAGAACAAACCTCCCCTATATAGTAATCTAGAAATCTAGAAGTTAGTAAACTAGTTCCCTACCCTCTAGAGAGATTCCCTCCTAGCTAAACTCCTATAGGAGAGAGCTTTTAATTATATAATTGAAACTAGAGATACTACCCCTATTAACCTCTAGGCCTATAGCTTGAACCTAAAACAGCTAGAGGAACAGACTATATAGATCTAAAAGCTACTAGAGAGGGGCCTAATTAAGCCTTCTAGTAGTCCCTAGGGAAGTCCTATACTCTTTGTTCTAAAGCCTAATAGGCAATAGAGAATGTATATTAACTATAGGGCCCTTAATAATACTACTATAAAGAATAGCTTCCCCCTCCTAAGGATCTAAGATTACTTAGACACTATTACCTAGGGTAGTATATTTACTAAACTGGACCTTGTCTCTAGATTTTAGTAGCTCTTAATTAAACCTAAGCATACCTATAAGACTGTATTTAATACTAGGGATAGGAAGTATAAGTTCTTAGTAATACTATTTAGGCTTACTAATACTCTAGCTTCCTTCTAATCCCTAATAAATAATGTCTTAAGGGACCTCCTATAGAAGAATATAGTTATATACTTAGATAATATTCTTATATACTCTAAGGATATAAAGGAACATATTAAGCACTTGTAAGAAGTGTTTAAGAGGCTAAGTAAGGCAGACCTGTTCTACTTAGTAGAGAAGTGTATTTTAGGAGTTAAGACTGTCACCTTCTATAGCTATAAGGTTACTAAGAACATAGTTAAACTAATATAAGACAAGGTGGAAGCTATCTCTAACTAGCCTATACTAACTAATACTTAATAGATCCGTTAGTTCTTAGGACTTACTAGGTACTATAGACGCTTTATTCGTAGCTTTACTAAGTTAGCTACACCTCTGTCTAACCTTTTAAAGGAAGATAATATTAACTTAAGAAGCAAGAAGAAGCGACCTATTAGGTAGAATGTATAATATACAATTGCTTTTAAGACTCTTAAGAAAGCTCTCTAGTCCTACCTAGTCTTAATAGCCCTAAACACTTCTAAACCTTTTATTATTAAGACAGATGCTTTAGAGTAGGCTATTAGGGCCGCTCTGTATTAGTATAATAATAAAGACAAGCTCTATCCTATTGCCTTCTCTAGAAGAAAGCTTTAAGGAGCTAAGCTTAACTATCCTATCTACGAAAAGGAAGGCCTAGCTATTAAGGAAGCCCTAAGAACCTAGAGCAATTATATTACAAATAGACTAACTATTACTGTCTTAACAGACTACTAATCCCTTAAATACCTTAACTAGACTAAAGGTTAGAGCAAGAGGATTATAAGGTAGGCTAAAGAATTTTAAGAATATAACCTAGATATTAAGTATAGGAAAGGTAGTAAAGCTATTGTCCTAGATACTATCTCTAGAAGGCCTAACTTTATTAGGGAAGGACTAGCAAACATAGCTTAGCCTATAGAGTCAAGTGCTACTATTAAATAGCTAGCTATACTAAGACTTAAGGCTAAGGAACATAAACCCTTTATAGAAGCTATACTTGCCTATAAGCAAGATATAACACTTCTATAAGATCCTTACCTTAAGGATATAGTCCTTAAGAGATCCTAGCAGTTCACTACCCTAATAGATAATAAAGGGATTGTTAATCTTAGGCATATTCTACTAGATAATAAGGGAACTATACTATACCTTAAACCCCTTTAGAGGTATAACTTTGTTAATAGAATCTATACCTAGTATAGCTATTTTGGATTTCCTAGACTCCTTAGACATATTAAAACCCGGGCATAGTAGCCTTTAATAAAAACAGACCTTAGGAGATTCTTAAGACAATGTCCTACTTATTAATTAACCTAGAAACAGCTTCCTAACAAGCTAGAGAACAAGGAGAATCCCTTCTACTAGGTCAATCTATAATTGCAACTATTTAAAAGATAGGCAATTAATATAATTAGACCTATGCCTAAGTCCTTAGAAGGAAATAAATACATTATTATAGCTATTAAGTATGCAACTAGCTAGCCTATTACAAGGGCAGTGCCCTCTACTAATAATAAGACAACTACTACCTTCCTATATAAAGAAATATATAGCTTCTATAGTGCCCTAAGAGAACTACTGTCTAATAATAGGAAAAACTTCCTATTAAGGGTTATAGCCTATTTAATAAAACAGTTTAAGACAAACTATAAGCTTAGTACTCCCTACTACCTAATAACAAATAGGAAGGTTAAGAATCTAAATAGCACTCTTAGTAATATATTAACTAAGATATACCTAGGTATAGATATACGCTATTAGGACACATTCCTTTATAAGGCTTTGTTCTATACTAGATATAGGTAGTATATAACTACTAAAATAAGTCTATTTTACCTCCTATATAGACAGTACCCCCGGATCTTAGAGGATAAAAATAAATAGCGCCTAATAAGTAAGCTTATAATTAATAATTAAGGTAAAAGACTTGTTAAGGTACGCTATACACGACAGCTTACTAATAAAAGGCTACTAAACCGTACAACCTCTAGAGGCCTAATAAACCTACAGATTATGTAGGTAGAATTAGGACTAAGGAGAAAGGTTAGGGAATAGGTACTACTTATAAACCCTAAACCTAAAAAGCTTTAGCCTAAGTAGCTAGGGCTATTTAAGATTAAGAAGGCCTACTAGCTTAGGACCTATGCCTTATAGACCCTATAAGGGAGAGTCTTAAGGCACTTAATATATAGTAATCGCTTAATCTCTACTTATTACTAGGGCTCTAAACAATTCTAGTTAAAGTATACTAATAGTATATTAAATAGTAAGCCTAGTACTCTAAGTTCACTAGAAATTAAGGAGATCCTAAATAAAGAGGGAGATATAAGGATGTTAGTTTCTAATCTCTTAACAATTCTAGAGGCTAAATAGAAGAGACTTTAGAATTCCCTAACTAGGAATACTAGCTAGTATCGTGTTTATATAGGAGTACGAAGATTCTTAGTAGGGGAGGGAGATAATCTAGTAATAGGTTCAAACCAAAAAATTATAGATTAGGTCTTAAAAGACAGAAGGAGGAAGTTAAAAATCTAAGAGTATAAGTAAGCTTAAGAAAAATCCTTACTTAACAGACTTAAAGAGGAACCTCTAACAAGACTAACTAGCTTTCAGCCTACAAGCTAGCTAAGCCTATAAAGGAATATAGCAAAGGAGATAGAGGGATCTCTAGCCCTACCTATCCTAGAGGACCTAGTACTAGCTAGGCTTGCTTAGGAACAGCCTAGCAATCCTTCTCTACTAGTTATAGAGCGAAATTCTAGACCTAGAACTGTACTTAAAGACAGTTTACTCTATCCCTCTAGAGAACCTAATTCTATAGTAGAAGAACTAAGACTAATACAACCTCCTATAACTGCTCCTCTCTAAAGAGATTATAACCCTAGGGACCTATTAGCTTCTTCTTAAGAATATAAGGAGAATAAGCTTAAGTTAGTAAGGCCTAGACCTAGGGGATTAAGGTAGAGACCTGTTCCTTCTTAGAGAAAGAGAAATTAAGATAAGTTTTCAATTTCTATAATTATTAGAGGCTACTAAATCCTAATAAGAGACTATACTTGTCCTAGTACTCTATAACATAAAGGAAAGGCTATAAGTAGTAACCTATAGTAGTATAGGCTACTCTAGCGAATAGCTAAAAGAAAAAGGAAAAAGACCTACTAACTCTACTAACCCCTAAAAGTAAAAGCAAAAGAAGAACTACTAACCTAAACCCTTATAGCTCCCTAACTAAACTTATTTATTATCTTTATTACTACCCTCCTTACTAGAAAGACCCTATTTCTTAGAGTTACTCTTATCCCTACTAGAATTAGCATCCCCTCCTACATCCTAACGAAGGCGGGTAGTAGCTACATTAGCTATATAGCGACTACGACCTAAGGCGTACTTTATTCGTCTTACAATCTACTATAGTTAATTATTAATATTAAAGTTAAATAGGATGATTATTACACCCTCCCTAGTGTCCTTAGTAGGCTCGATAGTGTTAGGCTTAAAGTAGATAAGACCTCTAAGAGCATCCTAAGCTCCTTACATGTCCCGGATATTAGTTAATACCTAGTTAAAAAGGGCCTCCCTATTAATAACTAGACGATTAGGCCTCCTACTAGACCTGCTTAGGCTAGCTAAGTTAGAGCGTACTCTACTTACTCCTAAGCTTAGGGAGCATCTATTATAACCTAGAGTCTAAGTACAGTTAGTATAGGTACCTCTAAGTAACTAACTACCCTAACTATCTAGTATCCGGCGACACAAAGCAAGCCTACCCTTTCTAGAGCCTTTAGGGCTATACTAAATGTAACGGCTCTATTTATCTTCCTCTATATCTAGAGACTACTTAGGAGGACTAGAGTTAGTAACAGCCCCTTTTAGTAGGGTACCTAGAATTATAAGTAGGTAGCTAGTACTACTATATAGATTGATAGTAATTGTTCTAGCTAGACTACCTAGGATAGTAGTAACTATAGCTTTATCTATAGGGCGTATGTTAGGATTACTACGATTATTATTAAAGTTAGCCTTAGGAGAAGCAATCTAGTTAAATAGAGTTATGTTTAGCCGGCTATTCCTAGAACTGCTTAGAAGGATGTTATACTAGCGCTAGATAAGGCTATAGTTGTTAGTAATAAAGACAATACGAGCTAGCTTAAGAAGTTTTACTAGATCTATAGTAATAGAAGTATAGCGGAACTACGAGTCCTATAGAGTATTTATAATCTACTAGAACTGGTTTTCTATTAAGCTTAGTACTATAGGTCTAAAATTTGGTAGCTACCTTAGCGGCTCTCTACTACTACTCCCTAAAGAAGATAGGCTAGCCTTAAGATTAGTACGGCTACTCTTACGGCTAACACGTATACTAGCTATACGTACCTAAAGGGAAGACATAGTATAAGCTCTACTAGCTAAGGCTCTAATAAGAGCTACTAATAAATGTTATTATTAGAAGTAAAGGGAGAGAGCTTAGAAGCTTAGAAGGGAAAATATATATATACTTAGCCTCTTAGAGAGGGCTTTTGTTATATAAATAGCCTCTTAGAGAGGGCTTTTGTTATTATAGGAGGAGAATAGAGTAGAGGAGTAGTTAATAAGAAGAAGGAGATAAGAGTAGAGAAGAAGCTCTTATACCCCTACCTATATAAGCTTCTAGAAGCTTACTTATTTACCTTCTAATAACTAGGTCTCGTACCCTTATTACTAGGTTATATAGGCAAGTTACAAACAGTAAAAGTTCACTATTATCTAGTAAGTAGGAGCAAACATCCTTCCTAATTAGGAAAGATAAAGCCTATATACTAGTAAATACTACTACCTAAGGCTTATAACCTTTTTATAAGGCTAAGGCTTATAGGGACAACTATATACTAGTATGTAGAGGGAGGCTACGAATCTACAGACAATTGAGGCTCTACTAAGGCTTCAGTAGGTGCTGAAGTCCAAGTAGGGGAGGATATAAGATCCTTAGCCTATATACTAAGGAATTATACTACACTTACTAAAGTAGTGTTATGCCTAAGTGTGAAAAACTCTGGTCTTGGCAGCCAAGTAGAGGGGATATAAAAACACCTCAAAACCTCATGTAGATAGCCGGGCCATGAACCTTCTTTGTTAGTCAAAGCTCTCACAAAGTACATGTATTGGGTGCGCGTGATAAGGGGGTGCACGGTCCCTCCGCGAAACCTTTCGCGTCTAAATCATCTAGTCTAATCTAGTCTAACCTTCATCAATACCGCCATCAAAGGCAGTCTCCTCAACTGAGGTACTCTCCTCAATCGAGGAACTCCTCTAATCGAAGCACTCGTCGCGATATAAGCATCCCGAAGATCATGAGTCGGTGTCGGTCGAAGATTTCTACGGCTGCCCTGGAGCAAGCTGAGTAGGATCATGATCCTGACAAAATAAAAAAAAAAAAAACCTACCAATCCGGCGCACTCAATTGAAGCCACCTGGTATGCGATGCTGAGATTGCTAATGTCGCAATTATCATAAATACTGAGCGGGTCCATGATTCCAAAGGACCCGCTGTTGCCCACAGATATTCGCGTCGGTTGCCCCGGTCGCGAGCCTCGCAAGCTTCCAATAAGGTGGCTTGTCGAGGAAGTCCACCACAGCTGAACCAATCTGGCCGTCATGTAGTCGCGCGCGAGCTGTACCGTCGTCGCAGCGCTTATCTCCCGCAGAATTGTCATCCTTCGGGCTCGGTCTGCAGCTGACAATCGAATTTCTGGGATAAAAGAGCCATCTGCCCGGGGTGCTGACAATGCTAGACATACTTGCCATCTCAAACCGAGCACACCTTCGCCATGGAAAAGCCACATACCACCGGAGAGATAGACGTCGATCTGCTCATAATCGGCGCCGGTCCCGCTGGCTCTTCACTGGCTGCCTTTCTAGCCAATTATGGCCTTGAGAACAGCACCGGGCTCATCATATCCGCTGCTCCAGGTACCGCAGACACTCCTCGTGCCCATCTCACAAATCTCTCAACACTGGATGCCATGCGTGATCTGGGCGTTGTAGACGAATGTTATAGACTGGGCAGACAAGGCCTACATACGAAACACTACCGATGGTGCGAGACACTTGCGGAAGAAGAGTACGCTCGCATCTACTCATGGGGAAATGATCCGGCGCGCAAAGGAGACTATGATGCTGCCAGTCCGAATCCGGGCCTACTCGATCTGCCACAAAGCCTGTTGGAGCCCATTCTGGTCAGAGAAGCCACCGCTCAGCCTGGAGGTGCATTCAAGATCCTATTCAATACCCAGCTCGTTCGCTTCGAGAAGTTGCAAGACGGCAGATATCGAGCGGTAGTTAAAGATTGCCTGAGGGTGATCGAGTACGGCATCATATGCCGGTTCTTGTTTGGTGCCGATGGCGGAAGAAGCGTCGTTGCGACTCAGCTGCAGCTGCCCGGTTTGCCAACCGAGCGAAAAGCTGCTGAAGGTGCTCCAGCCTGGAATGTGCTGATTCGGTCGGATATTGGGCACCTAATGCAGAATCGGGAAGGCAACTTACACTGGAACTTGAGGTTGAAGAGGGATGATGGATGGATGATCAACACGCGAATGGTGAAACCCTGGTTTGAATGGCTGGCGGTGTCATTGCCAAAAGACCCATCGCAACCGGGCCAGCAGTGGACAGTAGAGCAGTGGAAGGACGCGTGGAGAGACATGGTCGGAGATCCCACTATCCCAGTTGAGGTTCTGAGCACGTCTAAGTGGAACGTTAACGAAACTTGCGTCGGTCGTTTCAATTCCATGGTTCAAGATATGACAGTGCTGACAAGACGACATAGGCGGAACGATATTCCGAGGACAATGTCTTCTGCCTGGGTACGTTTAAGCGTATTTGGAGTACCCTTCGTTGCCAAGAACTTAGCTGATGATCCGTTTGTAGGCGATGCGGTTCATCGCCATCCGCCTGTCAATGGATTAGGTTCGAACACCTGTGTCGGTAGGTCATCGAAATGAGGCGTGCAGTACATTCGACCCGGACTATCAAGCTAATGCTGTGCCTTTCTCTTTCCAGGAGACGCTTTTAACCTGGCATGGAAAGTCAACTTGGTCCTCAAAGGCATCGCATCTTCATCCTTACTTGAAACTTACACCTTGGAGAGACAACCTGTCGGCGCCGATGTCGTCAGAATGTCCAACAAACATCTGCGCTATCATATGGTGATCTGGCAAATTGTCGGCATGCAGCCTCCAGGCAAATCTTTTGAAGAGCGGACTGCTGGTTTGAACATTCTGAAAGAGGAATCCGCTCGGGGCCGTGAGAAGAGGAAGGCACTGCAGGAAATGTGTCTGAAGCTAGACCATGAAACACATGCTCTTGGCCTGGAGATGGGACAGAAGTATTTCAGTCCGGGAATCTACGATGCCGACGAACCTGAATCTTGGACAGCACCCGGCAAGGAGGCAGAAGATCCGATTCTCTACTACGAGCCTTGCACGTACCCCGGAAGGAGGCTGCCGCACGCCTGGATCGGTGACAATCCGCCGACAAAGTTGACATCGATGCTGGATTTGGCGGGCAAAGGCAAGTTCACCATCTTCACCGGTATTGGTGGAAGCAAATGGAAGCAGGCGGCCACCGAGGTCGGCAAAGAGCTTGGAATACATATCAAGTCGTTCAGCATCGGCGCCGGCCAAGACTTTGAAGACATCTACTGGACTTGGGCAAAGAGAAGGGGCGTAGAAGAAGACGGCGTGGTGCTTGTACGACCGGACTTATTTTGCGCGTGGAGATACCAGGGCTGTTTCGACTGCCAGGAGGAATGCACTGGTAAGTTGAGAAGAGTGATGCGAAGTATCCTAGGCTGGGACAAGGCTTGATTAGCGTGAGTTGACTACTTATACGCCTTTATCGAAATTGTACATCTTATCCCATCGCTGTCAAATTGTTAGCAGCTGACCAAAATGAGATTATATGAAACTATTTACCTTGTCCCACTCCCTTTGCGGAATTCACGAAGAACAAATCTGTTCCGACTCTGATGACGCCTCTCAGGATCACAATTCATTGTTGATGCATGGGTTGCATACCTTAGGCATTGTGCAGAATCACATCACCGGCCTCGTAATCGGTCACCGACCACTTCCGACAAAAATTTCCGGAAATTGTAACGGGTTGTCGTTCAGCATTTCGCCCTTGATCATATTGCGATTGACTGGTCTTTTTTGATGGATAGTGACTTCTTCAAGCCACAAAAACTGAGGATGCTGACATTTATTTCCTGCGATGGATCTTCCACAACTGGTCGACCAAGTACAGCGTCAATATCATACGAAACCAGATACCGGTCATGAGACCTGGAACCAAGATCATCGTAAACGACTTCATGCTACCTGAGCCGAATACTCTACCACGGCTCTTGTAGAGAGCAATCCGGTACGCTAGTCGTGGCGACTTGTTTTCAGGATGTTGCTGACGCCTCGCAGAAACATTGACATGACAATGCTCGGACTGCTAAATGCAACCGAGCGGGACGCAGAAGGTTGGCATGATCTTTTCCGAGAAGCGAATTCGCGGTTCAAGGTCACTGATATCAAGATGACTCCGCCCGGCTTGATGGCTCTCATAACAGCTGAATGGCAAGGTTAAACACCTCCGCCGTCCGTGCTGGTGATTGTGATGATAGATCGTAGACCGTAAAATGAGTACACATCCGGTGCGTCAAGCAAGTCAGGCATCCAGATCTCGTGGATCCAATATTCTCGTTGAATAGCAAACAATAAGTAGTCCGTCTCCGAGTACGAGCGGTACGAATGCGAGAAGTTGGGGAGTTCTCCCAGGTTGGCTGGCGAAGCATGTGTTGAACTCACTCTCATTAGACTATAAGAAATCGTCTGGAATGACATTTGATGGGCCTTCGACTGTCGACAGGGTGTGCGATAGGATGCAACGCGATTCGGGAAAGGAGGAGGAGGGAGATTCTCATTCACTTCCCGGCGATACGTCGGAAGCGCTAGCCTCTTTTGAGCCACGGCGCCTCGGCTAAATAAACAACAGCATCCGATTCCAGACAAAGCACGTACAGCGGCCATGCAAGGCTGGCAAGCAAGGGAACATGAAATGGCCAGCCTTCTGGTCTTCACAAGAAGCACAACAACATGTCAATAACCTCTCCAGCCAAGCAAAGGACTCCGCTACCAAAGTCGCCAACGCGTCTCACGATGCTGTCGAAGAGCTGAAAGAAACAGCCTCGCAACACCAACATGGCCACTCGCGCTTCACGACCACGCAAACGGTAGGGGCTTGTATACTCACAACAGCCGCGACCTTGGGCCTCCTACGTCTCTACAAAACCCACCTCCGCCGCATCCCCTCAATCGACTACCTCAAACCCGAAGCCCTGCGAAAGAGAAGTCTATACGGCTATGTCACAAGCGTAGGAGATGGGGACAACTTCCACCTCTTCCACACTCCCGGAGGGCGACTAGCAGGCTGGCGTCTCTTCAGAACCGTTTCCAGCGATCGGAAAGCTCTACAGAAAAAGACCCTACACGTGCGAATCGCAGGCGTAGACGCGCCTGAACTCGCGCATTTCGGTCGTCCTGCACAGCCCTACGGACAAGAAGCACTAGATTGGCTGAGAGGGCAAGTCTTACACAAATACGTCAGAGTCTTTCCGTGGAGGAAAGATCAGTATGATCGTGTCGTGTGTAGTGTCTACCGGCGCAGATTTGGGATCTTCAAAGCGGATGTAGGAATGGATATGCTCAAGGCGGGAATGGCAACGGTATACGAGGCGAAATTCGGGAGTGAATTTGGAAACAAGGAGCAAGAATATAGGGATGCGGAGGAACAGGCTAAGAAGAGGAAAGTGGGGATGTGGAAAGAACCGGGCTTGGTGGACAAGATGTTTGGGAGTGGGAATGCGAGGCAGAAGAAGACTACGGAGAGCCCGAGGGAGTTTAAGAATAGGATGAAGAAGATGGAAGAGGAAACGGGAAAGTGAGCGAGGTCGACGTATCGATGTCTAAGTTGATGGGAGACTGGGTATTGCTTTCCAGTAATGCATAGTCACATTATCCGACGATGCCCATCGAAATCCTTCAATGGCCACACCACGACATGAAAAGAGATCCGGGGCCGTCGACGGTCCTCGTTGAAGGCGCTTTGCATATCGGCCTTCGAGGTCCTATCACACAAGATGAGCCGGAGTGCTTCTTGTGGCTACCCACTTGTTACCCTACAGATCCCTTAGAGAGCGGAGTTAACGAGGCTACGATGACGGAAGACACACCATCAAGAGACGAGACGAGTCTGCCGTACACAGGCACTCAGATGATTCGTATGCCACAGAGTAATGCAACATGAATGACGTGCAATTTTGGACTCATTGACGACTCTCATTACTTGCTATCAAGCTCACACGCTTTTCCGCCTACTTGCAGGCTATACTCAGGCCGAGATAATTACTACTCTGTCTCTGTAGGTATTCACAGTGTGTCGCGAGTGCGTCGGTTGGGGTGCTTCTGACCAGCCATTGTCCTATCGCCTTTCGTGTTCATGGCTTTAATGGTAACCACATCCAGGTAGGTGCACTCCGAAGAGGCATGAGACCTGCTCTTTCTTTCTGTCTCAGATCACTCCGTCTGCGGCCAGAGCAGGTGTCTCTTCTCGTTACATTGTTTCGAACCAAGGTCCTTCCTACATCGTCCCGTCTGGAGCAAAGGAATTGAAAGCAGGCATGTCGTGTGTCAAGAAATAATTCCAATCAAACTGGGTATCGTTCAAAACATCCAGGTTCCAGTCTTCGTTACTGGACGAAGTCATTGGGGTCTCTGTCGCCGTGGGCATGGGCGCAACTCCATTTGGTGTCGGTTGTGGAGGAACAACCTTCAAGTTTTCGGGTTGCGGATCCGCGTCTGCTGCTTCGAGGGCCTTCTTGAGGCTTAACCCTAGCACTTCGGAATCTTCATCTTTCCGCTTCTTCGACAGTCGCACAAGGAAGCGCGCCGTCTTAAGAGCCTCCTTCATTGCCGCTGTGCGAAAGCGCTCTACCACAAACTCGAGTGTTCGCATTGCTGTTGCAAGGTGTGAGAGCGATTCTCGGGCGTCCATGGCAAGAAAGATGCAAATCACTTGGAAAGGCACATTCGCGACATGCCACCAAGGCATATGCTTCTCAGCCATTCTCCGGGCCGCGTCTAGACCTCGTAATCCCATATTGATGATCCTGTTTGTGATGTCGCCTGACAAATTTGGGTTCGCGAGACGTAATCGACGGTATCCGCACAGGCCGAGATTCGCTTTTGACAGTGCTATGCCGTCGTGTCGACATTCGTAAGCATCCAGTCTCTCCAGAAATTCTTCCCATTGGCCAGCCTTATCTGAAGTTTCCGGGTCAAGACAACATGATATGCTGTACAGATTGATGTAGTCTGTCGTATAATCTCCTTCTTTGCTAGTCGGTAGCTGTGCAGTGATGCCGCGAAGAGCGACACGTGTGCGGCCGTACTCGAATGATACCCACGTGTTGAGCATTCTCGCAACCCAGAAACATCTTCTTCTAATCTCTGGGTCGTTCTTCGCATCGTTTGCCGCAGGATGAAGTACCGAACTACTCGCTTCACATTGAAGTCCTACAGCTTCTACGAGATGCATGGTCGTGCAGCTCGCGATCCAAGTAGAATGCGGATGGTCCGTGGCACGCAAATATATACAGCGTAAGATCCACGATTGCACGTCGGCCAGGGAAGGTGGTAACATCGTGCTCGTACTCTCCAGCGCCAGCTTCTGAACGTCAACAAGCGATGACACTACAGGATGTGGTAACGCGCCAGTCTCGGAGAAGAGGGAGCCCACGGCCGCTAGACCACACAAAAGGTGATCGGGCACATCGCATGCATCTGGTCGGGACCATCTCAACGAAATCGCTTGCAATATGCGATCTTTATCCAAGAAGCCATATAGAGGCGCGACATTGGCGAAATGCAGGCGTGCTAATGCATACATTTGCTCCTGATCGAGGAAATCGGTGACAGGCCTCGATGTTGGAGGGATAAATGAACTATTCCCAAGATTCCATCCGAAGGTGAACAGCTTTGGTCCGCTTGAGGGATCCAGGCGCTGTCCAAGTAGTCTGGTGAAAGCGATGCCAGAGTTCGCTTCCATAGATCGCATTTTCGTGATGTCTTCGAGACTAGGCTTAGTGACGCTGCCTCCAAACCCAGCAGGCTCGGTTCCTTCAAGATCGGCCTGGGCATGTTGTTCGACCAGCTTGCTACGCTTTCTTGGATGCTTTTCAAAATAGCACTTGTACTCGAATTGCGTGCACATGTTACAGGGCATGTTTCCATCGCATTTTCGTTTTCGTAGTCTACACGGTTCGCAAGCTTGTTTCGCACGTTGTCGCTTCTGGGCAGGCGGACTGCCTCCATCGCCATTCGGAGTCGTCGCAGATTCCATCGCGTCCATTTCCGGTGGAGATTATCGTTGAAGACACCAAATTGCGAGGCGCATCGAGAAAGAGTCAATTGGAGGAGGAGAAGGGACGTGCTCGACCTATCTCACAAAAGCCCAGTCATCCCCTCCTCCGAGGTGTTTTTCCATAGTTAGGTCTATGCTCTTAGCCGCACAACGCCTGGTCTGCTGGAGCCGCTAACTAGAAAGCGTACCTGCCCGATACTAGACCACCTACAGATACCTCTTTAGAGAGTCTAACCTTATTATGTTAGAATAATTAAAATTATATTTTCTATTTCTAGCCTATCTCTATTTAAGATATATTGCTTCTATATCTACGAATATATCTTAATTATAAGTTTATTAGCTAATTAGATCTTCTAGGCAGACTAGTAACACCGGTCGGACGTATAGTAAGATATAATAGTCTAAATTCTAAATTATATAAATAATTAATATTCTTATATATAGAATAACTATATTACTTACCTAATAATATTATAATATTACTCCTTTAATCTATTAATTCTTAGCTCTTTCTTTAAGAATAATACTTCTAGATATACTTTATAGGTTTCCTACTAAGTATCGTACTAAACTATTACTTCTTCTTTCTTATTTCCTAATATAGATATA